GGGCGGTTTCTTCTCTGAGAGGGAGAACGCCTGGATTCTTCGCAACCTTTTGAAGTTGAAGGGCCCGGGTCGTTACTGCCTGGGTCACTACGAGGACTAACCTGTGGGGGACGTTTTATGTCCGTAAACAATGATCGATGCGCTTTGTTGTCGTAATAAATGAAATATTTAATTTTAGGTTTAATATATTCTTTGAGGAATTCCGAATTATTTAATGGTAAGTATATTTCTGAAATATTTTGTTTTGGATGAGATTTAATTTTAACAAAGAGTTCATTTTTATCCCATGTATGTGTTAAAAATAGTTTTGGTTTAGTATTTATGGCTTCTTTGAGGATAGGAACACTTTTTGTAGTCATATCATCCGCGGAATGTACTGTGTCTGTACTAGAGTTACTTGTTAGTGTACGAGATGATGACCGGGAATTAATTCGAGATGGAATATCACGTTCATCTATACGACCAGTTGTTTCAGACCTAGATGCTTCAAAGAAAGACATAGAATTACTATTTTCATTTTCTACATTAACTACCATTGATTGGTTATCTTTATCGGTTTTTCCTAGTGCATTTAATTTTGGAATAATTATATGAGGTAAATTTAGTTTTGTATAATTTATTTTTATCTTTTCGGTATTGTTGAGGCTATCATAAAAAAATTTCCTATTTGTTCATGGTTTGAACAAGTCGGGTTCGATTCACAGTTATAAGAACAAGATGGTTGAATATTATTATCAGTATCAGTGTAATTAACGCGTCTTGAACTGGCTGTTCTCATCGTAATATCGGTATTGGAGGTCGATGGCATAGGCGATTCTTGGTATTGTAATCCATTGTTCGTAAAATGCCGACGCTGCTGTGACGACGACTGTTTTACTGGTGACCTAAATACCGTGTTATAATTGTTTCGATTATTTAATGTTCTATCATTTCTAACTTGGAAAGAATTATTATTTGAATTATTTGAACTATTTGAATTATTTTGATAATTAGATGCATTCGAGTTCCTTTGGACGTTATGGGTTGGAGAATTATAATTATTAACTTGTCTCGGATGAGAATTCCTATTTTGAAATGAATTAAAATTATTATAATTAGGTCTAAAATTTTGATTGGACCTTGGGTTCTTACTATCATAAACCGTTTGAAAATTTTGTTCTTCCAACACGGTTTTTAAAGCATCTTCCAGCGTGGTAACATTACGTAATCTCACTAATCTTACAAGGTACGCTGGTAAATTAAATAAGAAAACGTTTAATGCCGAATTATTATATATCGCTTGTTTGGCCTGTCTTATTTCGGGGTTGTTAATGGTTTCATTTATTTTGGAGAATAAAATACTCCTTAAATGTTGGACACGATGACAGAAATCTAAATGACTTTCGTTCTTATCCTTTTTTAGGGAATCTAATTCCATAGCCAGACAATCTTCTGACCTTGGATCGCCAAAGTGTTGGCTTAATAATAACTTAAGGCTATCCCAAGTATCTATTTGTTCCCGTTCCCCAACTAGACTTGCGGCTTCCCCGGATAATCGACTAGTAATTACGTGAAACAGATATTCATTTTGTAAATTGCCACCTTGAAATGTCTGTAAAATATATTCGCATTTTTTAATGAATAATGGTAATAATCTAGAATCACCATCAAAAACAGGAATAATTTTTACCATTTCTACAGGTACTCTTACAATATTTTCCATTTTGAATATAAAAAAAAAAAAAATTACCTATAAAATAATTGTTTAAACCTAACTTTTATTAACAATATTTTGATTGTTTAATAAAAATATTTTTCCGGCGTTTTCCAATCCGAAATATTTACGTATAACTAATACAAGAGGAAAACAAGGAAAGTCACGGGAAGTGAAAAGTTTTACTCACAGTCCTGTTATCTTGACCATGCTCCTCCGGGATACTGCTAGTTCTTGGCTGCTCTTCCACCGATGCCGTGCTGTCCTTAACTTATTTATTTGTTCGGCGATCTCCGTTAAAACGTTAAAACGTACGTTAACCGGTTGGTACTAGATCACGAAAAAAAAACGCGGTATAACTTCTTCCAGGCAACTATGGAGATCCTACCGGCTGCGCCAGTAAAGGAACGGCAACGGACTTTTGGTTTAAAAATAATTTATTTAAATCAACAGAGTGACAGCACTTAATTAAGAACTAAACAATAATCAACTTAATATCTATTTCTTCATGCATTAATACATTCAGATTTACTTACTAAGTATTGGTCGTTGCTGACGCACGACCTACATTCGGCTTAGTGCTAACAAAGCATATATTAATAGGGTTGGTACTCTTAACTAGTGCGCATGCTATTTGGGCTTGGAAAAGAAAAGGATAGCGATGGACTCGTATAATTATGCATCATTTTGGAGTAGTTTATTATTTAAATAGAGAAATAGTTATTTAATTTTTTTTTAATCAATTAATTATTTATGTGTATATTTTTTATGTGACACTAAAGTATATATACATCTTTAGTAAAAAAGAAGGTTGTAGTGATTCATATATAATTAATAATACCCTGATTAAAAATATTGATTGAAAAAAAATAAAAAATTTACCTACTACATGCAAATTATAAATCTATAAATGTAAACAGAGAAATTGAAATCAATTGAAACTCTTGGAAAAAATTCAAAACCCATAAAAGTGAATTTTTTTAATCAGGGTAATCTTGCAAATTTTATTTTTATTATAAGAAGACAAAATAAAAAAATGCGTGTACTTATGTACGCGCGTAAGAAGTTAAACTTCTTTGGCTTTCTTTATTTTTTTAAAATATTAAATAATTAATAACAAATATTTAATATTTAGTATATTATTCAATTATTAATTAATATTAATAATTATTTATTATTTTATTATATTATTCATTCAATTTAATAACTACGTATGTTTCATAACCTTTTAACTAAGTAACAATAGGTCTTTGTGAAAAAGCATTCTAAATTTATTTGAAAAAAAAATTAAAACTCCTTTATTTGTTTAAAAGGTAAATGTCATTATGGTAATTCCAAATTCTTAGCATAGCTGCTAACTTCACGCATATTCTATTTCTTTCTACTTGTAGATTGTCTTATTTCCATCTCGCTCGCGCACGCTCGGCGCCCATACTGATAATTTAGTGTCACGGTGCGCACGCATCGTAAAATTTTACTCTCATCAATTTTTCATAACGCGCCTAAAGAAGTATAACTTCAAAAACAACAATTAAAAAATTACTTCTATTTATTGTAAAAAATTAAAAATACATTTTTTTTTTAATTATTCAGAATCCGAGTCATAGGACATAAAACTACGATCTTCAACTTCTGAATCTTCTTCGTCATCACTTTCTGTTTCACTTTTTTCGACAATGTCTTCTATCTTTAAAGGTGTATGATCCCCAATGAATCCTACTGGTTTTAAATATTCATCTAAGAACCGTCCGCAGTTCTCAGGCTCAAATTTCATGCATATTGGATCCGTTGCATTAAGCCACATGGAATTTACGAAAATAAAATATAAAATATATATTTTAATATAGAAATATAGAAGATGTATTAGCTAAGATAATTTAAAATCATAATAATTTTAGCAATATTTTACTTTTTAAAATTCGACAACCGCAATTCTGGACTGATTTTTCGCAGACAACCCTATACCAGCGTGTTCAGAATAAAATAATCTTTAATTTCATTTAAATTTCATTCAATAAACAGACCGTTGCAAAATGCTAGTACAGATTTACCTGTTTATACCAGGCAACCCGATAGTTGTGACCGGAAAAGAATGGGCAGCATAAAGTTTGCATATTCTATGGGCTTCATACTTTCGATTGGTATAGAATTTATCTAATAATCATACCGGTGAAATGTTTAAAAAAATATTTTTTTTAAATTATTAATTAAACATACTCTGGACTGAAATTTGCTAGACAACCCATATGGATTATATTTATTGACATATTAAATTAAATATAAAATACGTTTCATTAAATAAGCATCTCGGTGAAGGTCGTTGTATAGCGGGATCTTAGACCAGTAGGTATTCCATTAAATCATGGTATCTAAATAGAAGCTTACATCAAAAATTCCGTTAACCTCTATTTGTCATAAACCACCTTATTTAATTCTTTACTTACACTTCGAGTTTTTTAAATAACTCATCTGTTAGGTGTCTGAGAAGATTCAAAGAAGAAGAATTATGGCACTAAGCCACGAGCAGTCTGAGAGCATATAGGCTTTATAACATTTTTCTTTTGTCTGTCTGGCATTAATAGTACGGGCTATTGAAACCAAGATTAAATGAACATAATATATTTCAGCAACTAAAAAAAAAAAGGAAAACTATGAAGAAAAAAAAACTTGCTCCAATTATAATTTTTCTACATATGCTAATTTATGTCTTAGTGTAACAACCTTTTTAATAAACTTTGATTATTTTAGTGTGAACAAAAAGTAGGTAATCAATATGGTTGATGGCAATTTGAATTTATTCAGACGCGTGTTTTGGTATTATATTAGTCAGCACATATATATTTATATAGTTGAATAAAATCATTTTATTGTTACCAATCCAGTTAATGTTATTAGTACGTAACTATTTGTAAAGATTTATTAATAAGTGTAAAAGAACATTGTATTTAGTAAGTAAGTTAGTAATAAGCTGTAAATCTTTCTCAATAAATAAAATAAAAATAATAAACAACTATCTCTAGGTAGCGCTAGTGTGCTACAATATCGAGTGTTGACTCTATGAACTATGATATATTCTGATTTTTGTGTATTGTGTCTGGTTATTCAGTCAATAATCAATATATGCTTTGACAGTGACAATATTAGTGGCACTAAAAGCAAAAGTCTGTGGGCTGTGACCGCGGCATACATATCAAATTTGAAGTTCTTTCTAGAAAACCTAGAGCATAGAAAGATGTTTCTAAACTTATTTTTATTTATGTAAGCTCAAGTATTTATAAGTTGTAAACAGATAAGTTACTACTGAAACATGTCAAATGTTTTCGGATTGATAGTATCCGGGCGATTGGTAAGTAAATTCATAGAAAATTCGGGACTAATTATGTTTGTTTACATGTTTGTATTTATTCTGGAGTTTAAATGGCCTAGGTGCAGACAAATTTTACACTGGTCTCAGAGACGAGTCTCGTCACGACAATTCTAGATGTTGATTCTATCAACCATGCGGTAGTGTTTTTGACGGGCTCGACGCCGTTACCTGCCGGCTCAGTTGCAATCGTCTACTGGAGCTGGCCTGACCCCAATGCGCCTCCGAATTGGCAGCCGCTCGGACATATCTCAAATGCTAAACCTTCGGCTATATTCAAAATTCAGAATTTAAAAAAGCTTCATGAATTATCAAGTATGTAAATCCTATATTTTAAATCTATAATATAATAATAACTACAAGCAAATCACATCTAACAATAAATTATAAATTCTTTTGCAGCTGAAAACAAATTTATAAATGCATTTGGCCAGCAGCAAATCTGTCACAATGCTCAAATAGGGATCTCCATTGAACCAGAAGTAAATGCTCAAATGTTGGAACCTGTTCTAGTAAGTTTGTAAAATTGATTTCTCTTATATAATAAAATATATTTTCTTTCATTGTAATATTTCACTTAGGATATTGTATTCTTCTAGAAACTAACTGTAATTGTATTATATAACTTTTTTTAGGAACAACAAACAAACAACTATGTGACATTTGCACAGAAGATGCTGGAAAACTTAGTGAACTTTGTAGCATCTTTTTCTGTAACGCAAGATCAAATGACCCCCACTCCGGGTGTCTCCTACATACCACTAAATACTCTACATACATGGTACCAGAACTTCGAGAGGCGCTTGCAGAATAATCCCAACTTTTGGAAAAACTTATAAAAAAATATAGGATAACTGCATTGTTTAAGCAATTTGAATAATATGTAGGGTAACTGAATTAATAACTGACTATATATATTTAAGTAATCTTCATGCCAGGTTTCAATAAGGGGATGTAGTGTGTTTTTTGTTAAACAAAATTTAAAAATATATAGATTCAGATGACTTATTGTTGGATTGCTTTAAAGTTCTTTATTATTATTATATATTAATATTTTAATTCAATTCATTGTAATGCTTCTATTTTATTATTCACTATAAAATAATCCCTGTGACCTGTTAGTTTTTTTTTTAACCTAAGTCTGCTAACCCATACATAGTACTAACTGTTTTTTTACTCTTAAAGTAAGATAAAATAAAAAGTTATATTTGATAACATATTCCAAAACCAGACCTGTGGTAAAAACATATTTAAAATAAACGACCCTCATCATTTAAAATATTTATTTTAACAAGGCACAACAATTCAAGGCACTTATTAACAGCTAATGAACACTGTTGAGGAAGACATGTAACTTATCAATTCTAAGCAGGTATTCCAAATATTAATTTTGGCTTCATTGTATATCAATTTAATTTTCTTGGAAAATTAACAAATTTAATATAATAGTCAAAAATTCCACAAATAATTAACTACCTTCAAGAGATTTGAATTGAAACCTTAAAATTAATCTGAGATCTCTATTACAAAAAAATTGTAAAAGCAATTTATTAAATGGTTGTTTTTAAATCACTACAATGTGTTCAGTATGATTTCCATAAAGTTAAAGCTTTAAAATACAAATTGACAAGTCAAAGTAAAAAGAACACCATTTGTGCGCATTTAAATAAATAATGAGGTAATATTGGGTGATTTGGCCTCCTTATGGTAACAAGAATTAAGTTGGTAAGAAAAATACATCAACTTTAGCATCAATGACTCATGGAGGAAACATACAACCAAACGCAAACCCTTTTTTGGCTAAAGTTCTTAACAATTACAACATGCAAATTCTACTTGAGAAATTGAGGGATTGAAGTAAGGCGACATTTATAAAATATTTAAATAATTAAAACTACATCATGTACTAGTAGGTAAAAACCTAAACTTTGGCACATAACAGTAGCAATTAGTAGACGAATACTATTAAAATATCCAAGAGTGCACTGTCAAACTTCATAGGCAAAAATGGTTTCACATGTATTAAAACTAGATTTAATTTTGGTTCCTATTTTTGTTTACCGACCTTACTCTGTCGGCTCACATTATTTCCTCCATTATCTATGGCTTGGTGGTCAGTGGGGCAGATGTGCTAAGAAAGGATGCCTTAACGCCTGGTCAGCCGTAATGCGCGTACGCGGGTCGGGGTCCAACAGCCGCGCTGCTAGATTAAAAGCTGCCTCCGGAAGGTCATCCACTACTATCGTTTCCAGGTTGCGCTCCTGTACAGATAGATGTATGTTATAAGAATATAGATGCTAGTTGTTATTCATAATTTGACAGTCACATCAAGTTGACAGATAAATATTTGATAATACAATTAGAACCTATAATGATGTCGGTAAAAATGCCGCCAAATTAACACAATCAATTGCTTTGGTTTGCAATTATATATTTTCTTACCTTGAAAGAAGTTTTATACTTGCCTACCTTATAAAATTGGTATATGTGATGTGAACACAATAAGATTTTTATTGTTTAAAATCCCGTAACATAAAATAAATTGTTTAAAAGCATGTTCATCTTCCTGCGCCTATTAACCAAAAATTTAAAACCCAGACTATACACAACGATAACTAAACTACTAAGCGACGGGGCGGTATAATAAAATTGAATTGCAATATGTATGACAATGTTGATATTATTAAAAGACGCACATAAAAATATATATCCTCATATTAAACGTGATCTGTAAATAAAATAAATCGTTGTTAAAGATGTGAATATATATTTTTTTAATATTTTGATCTTTAGATAATACAAAAACAATACAATTTAGGTATTGAATCAATGAAGTATGAACTATTAAAAACATATTTATACCTGCGTATCTGTGGTGAGGCAGAGACACTGTGGGGCGGGAAGACGGCAACGGAGACACGCGGGGTAAGGGCACGGAGGGGGAGCTGGGTTACGTAGACGCTGCGCCAACTTGCGAAGGCAGATGCCCGTGCGATTGCCTGACATTACCACCCGGCGACCTAACGACATTGTGGTGGTGAGAATGTAAAACAAAAGACGAAACGATTGTACGTTCCGTTAAATTCAAATTGTTCAACGGCATTTCTAGTCCAATAGTAGTAACGCTACGACCGTTAAGTCGGAAACACACGTGTCGTGGCGTGTCGTGACGCGCCAGAAGCATATTTTAATATGATTAGACAGAACGTGTTGCGACACGACACAACATGCAAATATGTTTCTAATCATATTAAATGTATGAAACCAATATGCTTCTGGCGCGTCACGACACGCCACGACACGTAAGTGTGTTTCCGACTTTAGTCCATTCACAATCGAACGAAATGTTTCGTCTTGCGTTTTACCTACCATTTACCTTTTTAAAAAACTATTCTAAAATGTATCAAGTCTTTAAGGATTAATTGTAGATAACCCTATACTGTACTTGACTGGACAACAATGTTCCTGCAGTTGTAATCAGTTGCTTATAGACCAGACTTAATACACAATATATATGTATGGTTAATAAATATTTGTCACAAATACACCTTAATAAAAAGTATTAAGTATTTAACGATAATTTAAAGCTATTTGTATCGACTGATGGATATACATACGAAGAGAGGCCGCGACACGATGTACGGCGGCAGAACCCAGCAAGTCCACAAGTTCGGCCAGCGCCGACACATCATCTGTAGCTCGAAAAAATGGATACCTGCACACACCATATTCCGCTTGTATTATATCTATATGATCATCAATCTATTATGATATTGTTTATTTTATTTAGTTGAACTTAGACACAATGACAACACACATAAAAATCACAATAAGGCACAGAGTCGATGCTATTTTAACTTAGATTGCATTGTACATGTTAGCAAGCCTACCTGGCGGTAAGGAGTGAGGTGAGTACGACCCCAGCAGCCCAGACGTCGACGGCTGTTCCCTGCAAGGGGCTTTTGAGGAGCACCTCTGGGGGCCTGAAACCCTGCGTTCCCGCCCTTGGAGCCCGAGCCGTTGGCCTTCGACCACACCCTGTGCAGACCCCACCCAAACCCGCACAAGCGCAGCTTACGTTTAAGCCTGAGACCTTAAAAATATATAATAGTCAGAGGAAGAATAGTGTGCAGAATAAAGTACTAATTCGTCTCTTTCTGTCACATTCTGTTTAGAATATGATAGAAAGAGACAGAAAAGGGAAGTGTTCTGGGAGTCAAAACCTTGATTAATTTCATTTCAAACAGTTTATCTCTTTAAATCCACTCTATCATAGGGTTTAACTTTAATAATGATAAACAGAGCCATGTGTGTGACCAACCTTTGTGACGTGTTTAAGCGGTGTTTGTTTGATTGTGTCACCGCGACGTGGTACCGAAACATGTCGTCCGCGCAGCGACAAGTCCAATGCCACACGTTTGGCACCTGGCGACGAATCACACTCCTACCGGAATTGCACAGTATAAGAATTAAACTAAATCTTAAAGCACGGGAAACATCGTGAATTATTTAAGAATCTTTAAGCTAATATTTAAAACAATAGCTTGCTTTACAAAAAATTAAGACAATAGAGACCAAATTTATAAGAGTAAAACAAATCCTTGTTTGAAAATATGGTATAAATCAATTTTTATGCAAAGACAGACCTCTTCCCGCAGTCGCTTCGCGGATCCATTGCTATGGGCAGGTGGAGGCTCCGTGGTTACCACGCGCTGCGCAAGACCAAAGTCCACTAGGAGATACCTGTAATTCACATCAAGCAAAAATTACAATGCAATATATATTTATAGACTTTCCTAGTTAAAAAAAGGGTGCGTGTACTTATGTACGCGCGTAAGAAGTTATACTTCTTTGGCATTATTAAAAATAGTTTTTGATTGCATGCAAATAATTAATTACAATTAAAAAATCAAAGGCTGGAAAAGGAGTCATTATAGTCAATAAAGTTCAGTTTACATTTGAAAAATTGAATAAATAAATATTTATTTTTATTATTATTCTCTTACATTATGTGTAACATAAATTATATTTTTATTCGAATGTTGTTTTTAAATTACATATGTCCAATGCCGTAGCATCTTCCGTGGGCAACTTCATTCTATTAATTTTATGTCACGGTGCGCGCGCATCGTAAAATTTCACTCTAATCAATTTTTCATAACGCGCCTAAAGAAGTATAACTTCAAAAACATTAAAGTTTAAACTTCAATAACACTTCAAACAATACATGTTTTTTTATGTTTAACATATTTTATCACATCTTAGTGAATACAAATAGCTGATCTCTATATGCATGGTTATTATTTTTCCAACTGTGATTCTGCCTAAGTTGTTTTATTAATACGTAAATATTAGGTGATTGGTTAAACATACCTCCTGCGCTCCCGGTCATAGAGAAAGTTGCTAGGCTTAACATCCCGATGGATGACACCAAAGGAGTGTACATGTCTAAGGGCTATCAGCAATGCATGCAAGTAACGAGACACCTCCTCTCTGTCCATATCATCCATATATTCCTTAAAATTTAATTAGGAGTTGCTTAAAAAGTGTGATATTATTAATAATATTTAACAAAATATATTGAAATATTTTTTGTGATTTGTACATTATATACTGTTAGCAAATCACAACACATAATACCATTTATACTAATTATCCAACCTCATATTGAGAAACACTTGTTTTATCATTTCCATAACTTTAGTCATTTAATGACATCCACTATTAAAAAGTATTTATAAATGGACATATTATGTAAGTAATGTATTTAAAGGTATTTTGAAAGATGATTTCATGTGGGTAGTTCACTTGGGTAAAGTAAACACAATTATTATTGTATATATTATATAAATAATTTAAAGTTAGTTTGTAAAAAGATTTCTACTTAATAGAAAGAAATATTAGTTAAATATTCCATTATTAAATGAATCACAACTGAGCTTTTAGATTAGAGAACTAGTCAAATATAATTTTAAATTCAGTTATTTTTATCAATGTGGGTTTTTTATCAAACTAAGGATACTTACTGCAAATTTTCTATGAGGTATGTATGGCATAATAAAAACAATAGTGTCTAATTGCCTTAAGCATAATTCCACACCAATCACATTGTGTCTGCCACTGAAAAGCAAAAAATATGTCATAATTAGAGACCAGCCTCTTTTAACTGATAAAGATGAATGATTTTAGAATTAATAAAATATGTACAGTAGAACTCCAATTATCCGAATTAATGGGGACCGGGACCCATTCGGATAATCAAATATTCGGATAGTCGGATTTTTTAAAAAAAATTGCCATTGGAGAGAATAAAAGCTACGTTTTGATATTGCACTATTTTTTATTGAATTAAATGAAAGAAACATGAAATTTTCACATGTTTTAAATATAAATAAAATGTACTTATGTACAAGTTTAGAAATAAAAATCATTGTTTTTTAAACATCTCCGTCAATGTAAGCTGTTTTGCGGTCTTCAACCGTTTTCGGGCAGCCAGGTCACGCATTCGCTTGACGGTGAGCAGTTGCAAGTGGTCTCACTCGCACTTCGGATAATCGGCGATTCGGATAGTCGGAGTTCGAATAATTGGAGTTCTACTGTATTCCAAAATATAGATGGGCAGCTTCAAGCTTCATATTGTTTATATCAATAATAAGTTCCTAAATAATAATTATTACTACTACTTCTATCAACAAAAAAAAACCATGTGGGATTTATATCACCATAACACTGCACTGGCAAGTTTTTTTTATTTACTTAGAGTGACAATATAAATTTAACTTCAATGACATACCTATATTTGTACACCTTACTTTGGAGGTAGGTCCCGATATACCAACAAAAAACACAAGATACACTATAAACTATTACAAATAAACAAAATAGTAATAATTACTGTGTGGGATGATGGATAGGAATGGCTTTAAAATAGTATTTCTAAGAAATTAATAATTAAATACAGAGTAAATTTAGCGAGTTTGGCAATAATGGAACCTAAATCATATTTAAATATTATTTCTGACAATTAAGGGTAAAAAACCTAGTAACATTCAATATAATTTTAAAAATCTTTCAACTCTCTCAAAATAGATGTTGATAAATGATGTAATACATTATACAATCTTCTTTTATATACTGGTACATGCGAATTGAGTAGTGTTATTAGAAAAATGGACTTAAATGCATTGTGATAGAAAATTTTATAAAGAAACTTACCCCATGTCTTGTAGGCATTTGAGTTCATGTTCAACCCTAGCCGGATGAGCTGTAGGAACTAAGTGTTTTATAGCAAACAAACGCTTTTGTCCATCTGGTAGATTGGCATGTTGCCGCAGTGAGCCAAGGTAAACAGAACTGAAAGTCCCTTCCCCTATTTTGCGGTGAACTTCAAATATACTATTTAATTTTGGTAACTTATGTACCAATTCATTTATTTGTTGATCTGAAATTGGGATATGAAAATTTACAATAAACTTAAATATTATACAAACACTTAAGTAAGTTAATAATTTATAACCTATTTACTTATAAACAAATTTTACCAAAATAAAAACCAAAAAATACTTACTTTCTTGATCGTCTGAACAGGAAAATTGATCTCCTCTATCCTTTTTATCTTTTTTGTGGGTACCATTTCGTGCTATTTGTGAACTCTGTAGTTTTAAAACTTTATTTTTAATACCAACAGTATTTGACATTACTTTAACAAAATAATAACAATGTTAATAATATAAATTAGAAAAGCTTAAGAAGGCAGAAGAAAGTGCTTATATATGATACGCTAACTCATTATAAGTAATGATAATTAACAGAAACAAAAGTAAGATAAATTTAACTTTGAAAATTGAAAAAGAAAGTTTGAGAATTTGAATTTGAAGTATGAAGAACATTACACAGATCCACAGATATCTAATATACTAACTATTAAGATCCATATACCTATTTTTTTTTAATTAGATTTTTAGATTACATCCACAGATACAGCCGATGCCGTGCTCATCTTATACAAAATAGTAAAACCTTTGACAGTGTCTCTTCAGATTTTCACACATATTAAACAGGGATATTGGTAATTACAAGCCGTCGGAAATATCTGCGAACCTCGCTGGAATGCGCTTCCCGTGCCACCCGCCCCGTTTTCCCTACCAGTACCGGTGCTAACGCAATCGCCGACGGCGGCACGTGTATTATTCTTGCTTTCGTATCGAATTTTATGTTTAGTGTTTCTCTGTTTGGTGAAATATAAAAAAAATTACTTATTTAGTGCTGTATGTTAGATGGTATCAGGAAAAAAAAAAAAAAAAAAGAGGGAAGGGAGAAAAAAAAAAAAAAAAAAAAAAAAAAAAAAAAAAAAAATTTTTTTTTTTTTAACCCCCCAATTTTTTGCTATCTCTCCAGTTTGTATGACGTCATTAAGCCAGGTTCGAGTATTTCCGACGACTTGTATAGGTATTCCCGTGAGGAGGTGATAGGAATGACTCCTTATGAAATGTTAGGCGATGGCTATAATCAGGGCCGCGCCGACCCCCGGCAGCGCCTGTGGTGCGAAAACCCATGAAGCGCCTCGAGCGCCTTTTTCTATAGGGGTCAAACGAGCCTTAGGGACGGAAAAAAATGGCAGTCATTGAATCTCATAGACATTTTTAGCGGGTGTGTTGCAGGCCTTTGAGGGAACTCCTTCTATATTTCGGCCTATTTTTTAAGAATCTTCAAGTTTCAATGTATTTTTTAATTTTGACTGAAAGAAAATTTTTCTTTAGTTTAATCCACTTAAATAGGTAAAACGTCCGCTGGCCAATTGCCGTGAAAAATAAAATCTAATTAAATTGTTACATAGTTTATTTATGATGTTATTTTTATCTAACCGTTTTTAAGGTCAGATTTATGACATATCTTTGTAATAAATCCCATCTTTTAGTAGAGGACGAAAAATATTTATATAGTTCTTGCACAATATTAAAAAACCAGTCGTGTATGAGATGTGCAGCGTCATTTATTATTAAATTTAAACTATGGCTGGCGCACGGACATAAAAAGTGCGGAGATTTACTCGTACATCCCGCAATATTCTTACCGCGCATATTTGAGCCATTATCATAGCCTTGCCCCCTTAAGTTCTTTATGTCCAAATTAATTTCGTTTAGTTTTTCTATTATAAATGACGTTACTCCAGCGCCAGTTGTATCTACGATTGAGCAGAAAGTGCTATTATAAATTGGAAAGCTAGGAAATGCTCTCTTATTCTTAACTTTCTAGTTTACATGTTAAAGTTGACAAATCTTATTATCATACTAATTTGCTCTTCGTGTGAAACGTCAGTAGTACAATCCAGTATTATTGAAAAATATTTATTAATTCGACATAAATTTAAAATAAAATGTTGAATTTGGTTACCGAGTATAAAAAATAGTTCATTTTGGATTTTATCAAGGTATGTCGGCATATTATTGAAATCATAAGACATAAACACACTCAAAAAACTCACGGCGGTCACCAGCGGCCTTTCTTTTGATTCGCTAAGCTCTGAGTAATTAATGTAAACTAAAACCTAAAGCGTAAAATGAAACTTCAAACGTACGTAAGAATATTGTAGTGTAGTATAAATAATTTCGGTGGCGGCGCCCTTATTGTATCAGCGCCTGTGTGCACCGCACACTTCGCACACATGGGCGGCGCGGCCCTGGCTATAATTGAATAAACTATAAACACATTCTCTTGGCCGATATCTTAAATAAGATACCCTGTGGTTGTGTTGCAAGAGTAAGGTCGTATTTTTGGACAATTTACTTAATTTGAAATGTCAATTGTCATATAGTATTATGAATTCATGAAGTAAAATAAAAACAAATTTTAATATTCGTGATTAATTTCCTTTACCATTTACTTAAATATTCCAAACAGTTTTACTTCGTCTTTTATCTGTTTCTAATTTAATGTAATAAACATTAATTTAAAAACAATAAATTTGTTAGTAACCTTAAAACAAAAGCAGCAATGTTTTCGAGAACATTTTTAAAACGAAGCACCTTCATTCTTAATTCAGTAAGTAGAAACTGTTAAAGTAAATTTAATGGCGTTAGGTATTCCATTAATTTATGATAAACGACTATTTTTTTAAAATACTTATTTTAATTACATATGTCAGCAATTTCATTAACTGTACATTATTATTTTTTTATTACAGGTCAAGTATGTTACAAAAGCTCCAAAACCGGAAATACCAAAAAATCCTTTGACATCAGTTTATTCTGCAAATAACCAAAAAGCGAATGGCACAGTATATGATAGAAAACCTTTTAAAATGTCCCTTCAAGCAGGAAAGACTTACTCCTGGTGCCTTTGTGGCAAATCTAAATCACAGCCACTGTGTGATGGAACCCATAAAGATATATATCTTAAAATATCACAGAAGTTGGTATTCCAATAATTATTTAACGCCCCTATTTTCATAGAAAAATAATCTGTCTAATAACACTGTCTTAACTAAACACTAAGCATTGGTCTCTTTTCATGATATCCTATACTTACAATATACATAAGAATAATAAAAACAGATGATAGATGCAATTAGGCTGATTTACCTTTTGTGAATAAAGGGGATAGAATAGAGCTTTTTTGTGTCAATTAATAAATTAACAATTGTTACAGACCTATTAGGTTTACTGTAGAAGAAACCAAGGAGTACTGGTTGTGTAATTGCAAGCAAACTAAAAATAGACCCTTCTGTGATGGAACTCACAAACAGAAAGAAATACAGGAAGCCACTACTATCAGAGTGTGAAATAATAAAATAATTACATTTAGATAAGCTTAATTATTAGATTATGTAAAAATATATTAGTAACTGAATTTTCAATTTACTAATCTGTTTTAATAATATATATGTTGGCGTCGGGACGTGACGACCCCATCGCCCACTGGTGAAATAACCTGTGACAGAGGTTATTTCGTCAGCACAATCAGTCAACCCCTTCCTAGTGGGAGTGCCATGCTGTTGCCTTCGGGCTTCAGCCTAATGGGCAGGCACGACCGGGGCAGTACCACTGTCTCTTAGAAAACCGGCGTGAAGTGAGGCAATAGGTTCGCCTTATTGTACTCGCGTTTCGTACGGTGAGGGAGACTCCCGGAGCCCATTCCCCCCCCCCCCCCATATGAAATATGAAGGTGCAGAACAAACAGAAACGAGAATCCCCCTCTGGGCGTCCAACACCGGGACACTCAGCACCCGGTGGTGGACGCACAGGCTGCCCTTCGTATTCTGGGGGGGGAAATTCTGCGCTCAACAAAAACAGTCATCGTTCTCGGGGCAAACGGAGCAATTCAACAAAGGCACCCCCGTCCACGCTCGCCGTGGACTTCACAAATGTTAGGGGGCTCAATTCCAATATCAACGCAGTCCACTACCATTTAGAGACTGCGAAGCCGGCCTTGCTCTTTCTTACCGAGACTCAGATTTCCTCCCCGGCTGATACTTCCTACCTCTTCTACCCGGGGTACAAATTGGAACATTCATTTGTGCCGCGGGCGGGAGTTTGCATGTACGTCAGAGAGGATATCTGTTCTCGTCGCCTCGGGACGCTTGAAGGAAGAGACCTATCTAACCTCTGGCTGCGCGTAGACTGCGATGACCATCCGCGATTCTACGCATGCCTGTATAGGTCCCATAGCGGAAATACCGAAACTGACCGACTCATTGAGCACATCCAAATGGCTACAGATTCCCTGCTCGAAAGGGTTCCTACCGCTGAAATCGTGATACTTGGCGATTTTAACGCCCACCATGCCGATTGGCTCGGCTCTGAAACCACCGATCACGCGGGAAGATCCTTTCACGACTTTGCTTTAGCCTACGACCTGACACAAATGGTCCCTGCGATTACGCGAATACCAGATGTGGATGGTCATAAACCCTCTTTGTTGGACCTTCTGCTGACTTCACATCCGGAGAACTATCAAGTCTCTGTTGACCCGCCATTGGGTTCATCGGATCATTGTGTGGTCCGGAGTACTGTGCCATCTACGCGCCCTTCACGGCCCCGCTTTATGGGTTGTCGCCGTATTTGGCACTATAAGTCAGCAGATTGGGACGGGATGCGGTCTTTCTTTGCGTCCTACCCCTGGGGGCCTATGTGCTTTTCGCCGGAAGCTCCAGATTCCGTCGCCGCCTCTGTCGCCGAAGTGGTTCTGCAGGGCATGGAACTCTTTATTCCATTTTCTGCGGTGCCGATCGGTGGCAAGTCTCAGCCCTGGTTTAAACGTTCTTGCAAGGCGGCCTCGCGTCGAAAGCGAGAATGCTTTAAGGCATGGGCGGAAGCGGCGAAATCTCGTGATGCCAATACCAGCAAACTTAAAACAGCATATAACTCAGCCTCCAGGTCCTTTAAACGGGAAATCACTAAGGCAAAGTCAGAGCACATTGCCAGATTTGGCGAGAGATTGGCCCAGCTCCCTTCAGGGACACGAGCCTTCTGGTCTCTCGCCAAAGCTGTCCAAGGGAATTTTTGTCAGCCCGCCATTGCGCCACTGCACAGGGAGGATGACTCTCTGGCCCACACTGCGAAGGAGAAGGCCAACCTTTTGGGCTGTCTCTTCGCGTCCAACTCGACTTTGGATGACCAAGGAAGATCACCACCGACCATTTCGCGGTGTGATTCTTCGATGCCGGAAATCACATTCCGGCAACGTGCTGTCCGCAAAGCACTATCTTCCTTGGACATTCATAAGTCGAGCGGGCCGGATGGTATCCCCCCAATTGTGCTGCGTACTTGTGCTCCTGAGTTGGCTCCGGTCTTAACGCGCCTTTTCCGGTACCTGTACTAGCTCGGCACTGTCCCGAAGTGCTGGAAGACCGCTTCGATACATCCGATCCCTAAAAAAGGCGATCGCGCTGATCCGTCCAACTATCGCCCAATAGCTATAACCTCCTTGTTCTCCAAAATAATGGAAACCATTATTGGGGGGGGGGGGGGGGGGGGGGGGGGCCGGGGGGGGGGGGGGGGGGGGGGGGGGGGGGGGGGGGGGGGGGGGGGGGGGGGGGGGGGGGGGGGGGGGGGGGGGGGGGGGGGGGGGGGGGGGGGGGGGGGGGGGGGGGGGGGGGGGGGGGGGGGGGGGGGGGGGGGGGGGGGGGGGGGGGGGGGGGGGGGGGGGCGCCCCCGGGCGGGCGGGGGGGGGGGGGGGGGGGGGGGGGGGGGGGGGGGGGGGGGGGGGGGGGGGGGGGGGGGGGGGGGGGGGGGGGGGGGGGGGGGGGGGGGGGGGGGGGGGGGGGGGGGGGGGGGGGGGGGGGGGGGGGGGGGGGCGGCCCGGGCGCGGGGGGGGGGGGGGGGGGCGCCGGGGGGGGGGGGGGGGGGGGGGGGGGGGGGGGGGGGGGGGGGGGGGGGGGGGGGGGGGGGGGGGGGGGGGGGGGGGGGGGGGGGGGGGGGGGGGGGGGGGGGGGGGGGGGGGGGGGGGGGGGGCGGGCCCGCCGCCGCCGCGCGGGGGGGGGGGGGGGGGGGGGGGGGGGGGCGGCGGGGGGGGGGGGGGGGGGGGGGGGGGGGGGGGGGGGGGGGGGGGGGGGGGGGGGGGGGGGGGGGGGGGGGGGGGGGGGGGGGGGGGGGGGGGGGGGGGGGGGGGGGGGGGGGGGGGGGGGGGGGGGGGGGGGGGGGGGGGGGGGGGGGGGGGGGGGGGGGGGGGGGGGCCCCCGGGGGGCGGGGGGGGGGGGGGGGGGGGGGGGGGGGGGGGGGGGGGGGGGGGGGGGGGGGGGGGGGGGGGGGGGGGGGGGGGGGGGGGGGGGGGGGGGGGGGGGGGGGGGGGGGGGGGGGGGGGGGGGGGGGGGGGGGGGGGGGGGGGGGGGGGGGGGGGGGGGGGGGGGGGGGGGGGGGGGGGGGGGGGGGGGGGGGGGGGGGGGGGGGGGGGGGGGGGGGGGGGGGGGGGGGGGGGGGGGGGGGGGGGGGGGGGGGGGGGGGGGGGGGGGGGGGGGGGGGGGGGGGGGGGGGGGGGGGGGGGGGGGGGGGGGGGGGGGGGGGGGGGGGGGGGGGGGGGGGGGGGGGGGGGGGGGGGGGGGGGGGGGGGGGGGGGGGGGGGGGGGGGGGGGGGGGGGGGGGGGGGGGGGGGGGGGGGGGGGGGGGGGGGGGGGGGGGGGGGGGGGGGGGGGGGGGGGGGGGGGGGGGGGGGGGGGGGGGGGGGGGGGGGGGGGGGGGGGGGGGGGGGGGGGGGGGGGGGGGGGGGGGGGGGGGGGGGGGGGGGGGGGGGGGGGGGGGGGGGGGGGGGGGGGGGGGGGGGGGGGGGGGGGGGGGGGGGGGGGGGGGGGGGGGGGGGGGGGGGGGGGGGGGGGGGGGGGGGGGGGGGGGGGGGGGGGGGGGGGGGGGGGGGGGGGGGGGGGGGGGGGGGGGGGGGGGGGGGGGGGGGGGGGGGGGGGGGGGGGGGGGGGGGGGGGGGGGGGGGGGGGGGGGGGGGGGGGGGGGGGGGGGGGGGGGGGGGGGGGGGGGGGGGGGGGGGGGGGGGGGGGGGGGGGGGGGGGGGGGGGGGGGGGGGGGGGGGGGGGGGGGGGGGGGGGGGGGGGGGGGGGGGGGGGGGGGGGGGGGGGGGGGGGGGGGGGGGGGGGGGGGGGGGGGGGGGGGGGGGGGGGGGGGGGGGGGGGGGGGGGGGGGGGGGGGGGGGGGGGGGGGGGGGGGGGGGGGGGGGGGGGGGGGGGGGGGGGGGGGGGGGGGGGGGGGGGGGGGGGGGGGGGGGGGGGGGGGGGGGGGGGGGGGGGGGGGGGGGGGGGGGGGGGGGGGGGGGGGGGGGGGGGGGGGGGGGGGGGGGGGGGGGGGGGGGGGGGGGGGGGGGGGGGGGGGGGGGGGGGGGGGGGGGGGGGGGGGGGGGGGGGGGGGGGGGGGGGGGGGGGGGGGGGGGGGGGGGGGGGGGGGGGGGGGGGGGGGGGGGGGGGGGGGGGGGGGGGGGGGGGGGGGGGGGGGGGGGGGGGGGGGGGGGGGGGGGGGGGGGGGGGGGGGGGGGGAGGGGGGGGGGGGGGGGGGGGGGGGGGGGGGGGGGGGGGGGGGGGGGGGGGGGGGGGGGGGGGGGGGGGGGGGGGGGGGGGGGGGGGGGGGGGGGGGGGGGGGGGGGGGGGGGGGGGGGGGGGGGGGGGGGGGGGGGGGGGGGAAAAAAAGAGAGGAGGGGGGGGGAAAAAAAAAAAAGAGAGAGGGGGAGAGAGAAGGGGGGGGGGGGGGGGGGGGGGGGGGGGGGGGGGGGGGGGGGGGGGGGGGGGGGGGGGGGGGGGGGGGGGGGGGGGGGGGGGGGGGGGGGGGGGGGGGGGGGGGGGGGGGGGGGGGGGGGGGGGGGGGGGGGGGGGGGGGGGGGGGGGGGGGGGGGGGGGGGGGGGGGGGGGGGGGGGGGGGGGGGGGGGGGGGGGGGGGGGGGGGGGGGGGGGGGGGGGGGGGGGGGGGGGGGGGGGGGGGGGGGGGGGGGGGGGGGGGGGGGGGGGGGGGGGGGGGGGGGGGGGGGGGGGGGGGGGGGGGGGGGGGGGGGGGGGGGGGGGGGGGGGGGGGGGGGGGGGGGGGGGGGGGGGGGGGGGGGGGGGGGGGGGGGGGGGGGGGGGGGGGGGGGGGGGGGGGGGGGGGGGGGGGGGGGGGGGGGGGGGGGGGGGGGGGGGGGGGGGGGGGGGGGGGGGGGGGGGGGGGGGAGGGGGGGGGGGGGGGGGGGGGGGGGGGGGGGGGGGGGGGGGGGGGGGGGGGGGGGGGGGGGGGGGGGGGGGGGGGGGGGGGGGGGGGGGGGGGGGGGGGGGGGGGGGGGGGGGGGGGGGGGGGGGGGGGGGGGGGGGGGGGGGGG